TATTCTGTTGAAGGCGTAGGGTCAACTCGTAAGTACGAACGTCCCAGGAGGACTTGAACGCAGCATTAGCATACCTCTGCGCACCCGGTTCGCGCAGACAGGATACATCATCAGCGCGTTCACGTACGCTGTGCAGACAGAGCAAGAATGGAAGACAAACATCAACAACCTGATCTTCCTTCTTGGTATTGTAGTCCCCTAGTCTGAAGTAATGAATTTAGGAAAAAGGGGTGCAGAGCCAGTGGTGGTTTTGTGGGCAAACATTAATGCCTTGAATTTTTTGCGGGCAGCTATTGGTAGCCAGTGCAAATTGATAAACAGAGGTGTGACGTGCATTCTTTTCAGCTCATTTAAGATTAATCTTGCTGCCACGTTCTGTATTAATTGTAAAGGTTTGATAGAAGTGGCTAGAAGACCTGCCAAGAGAGCATTGCAATAGTCCAGCCTGGACACAACAAAAGAGCAATGATACGCAAGTGCTATAACAAGTCTCAGTTAGCTTAACGCAACACATGTAGCAAGTTTTTTTAATTTTTTATTATATAGTAAATAAAAAGAATAGTCCAGGCTGGACAGAACAAGAGCTTGAACAAGGAGTTGTGTTGCATGTTCTGAAAGAACATCTTCCGATGTTGAATAAAGCAAATCTGCAGGACCGGGCAGTTTTAGCAATGTGGTCTGAGAAAGTCAGCTTATCATCAATCATAACTCCAAGGTTTCTGGCTGTTTTTGAAGGAGTTATGGTTGATGTGCCTAACTGGATGGTGAAATTGTGATGAAACGATGGGTTTGGTGGAACCACAAGCAGCTCTGTCTTGGCAAGATTGAAAAAGCACTCTAAAGTTCAACTAATTGCATTTAATGTAAATTTAAACTGAAATTTTAATCAACGTGTGCACAAGTGCATTCAATTCAGATTGAATTTTTAAGTACACTCTTTTAAAAACATATTTCCATACAAGTATGCTAAAGTGTACTTCTTTTTCACAAGGGATTGGAGACTTTCATATTAATTTTAGCATTGCTGCACTGTTTAAGCTACGTGCAGCAATAGATTAAATGCAGTAAAACTAGCTAATGTCCAAAAAATACATAATTTCCTATCAAAAACAAGTTAAAGCCTTATTGGAACTAAAGCTGATCCAAATTAGCATGAATGTTTTTTTGTCTTTTATTTTTTTTCCAGGAATGATCAGATCAGTGAACAATTACAATTTAGTTTCAGTGTCTGTTGAGTGTCCCATTAAGAACAGTTCACCTAAAAATTAAAATTCTTTCCTTATTTACCCTCATCGCGCTCCAAATTAGTATGTTGTCCATTTTGGAGCTTGACAAACATTGTCACTATGAACCATTGTTGTATGGGAAGTTGAAAAGAAATTATTTCTTAAATTGAAAGAAATAAGATCTAAATAATCCTCTCTCTGGAATGAAACAGCAGTAGCCATTACCGAAGTCCACCAGTTTGACTCCACCGTCTGTGGTGAGGAGGATGTTGTTGCCCTTCACATCGCGGTGGATTATTCTGTTGTTGTGAAGATGCTGGAGACCCTGAAAATAAAGCAAGAGAAACTGGAGTCAGTAAGTGGGGACTGAGGGCCAGACTGCCTCTGATCGGCCCCTGAAGTCTACAGCTGGACACCCTCTGTCTTTCTTCACTATCACGGCCCAAAATAACTACTCTGGCACAGTCAGACCGCTGAGACAGCGTTCCCTGTGCTGGGGTAAGCAGATTACTTCAGTCTGTGTGTGTGTGTGTGTGTGTGTGTGTGTGTGTGTGTGTGTGTGTACTGTATCTCACCAGAAGTGCTCCATACAGGATGTAGGAGATGATGGGCTCCTCAAGACGTTTTCCCCTCATCAGCAAACCCTTTATCAGGTCAGTTACTGAACCCCCATTACACAACTAACAGAGAGAAATGCCAGACAGAGAGGGAAAGTAATGAGGAAAGGGAGAGAGAAAAGAACGATAGATGCAGTTACAGAGAAGAGGGCAACCAAACAACAGAAACTACATTAGTAAGGACTAAGCATTTTTTTACGAGTCATCCTTAACTGAAGCTAGAAATAATTGAAAATTGCAGCTGATTCAAAAAAAAAAAATGCTATCAAAGACAACATGTCAGAATAAATTATAACAATGAAAAGGATGTAAAAACGCTCCCAAGCTTTCATGCATGTGCTTGTATGACTGGCAGCAGGGTAGTCGATGGGTACAATGAAGGCAGCCATGCATGCACTGTGCAGCAGGGGGTTATGGGGGATCAAGCAGCACTAATGACATCACACTACAAGGGGAATATCAGCATTAGGCATAAAAATAAAACATCCTGACAAGTTTTCCAAAAATCAATAATGCTATAATATGAAAATATCTGTGGGGGAAATTTAGGAAGAATATCTACTTACTCTGTTAGTGTGACTGGGATTCTGAAACAAGCCGGAGGACAAGAGGGGAAGAAACGCCTTTAAATATGTTTTTTTTTTTTTTTGGCTTTTAAATAATTGGAAACACTGTTAAGAGTCTTAGATCCTAAATGAATAAATGAACTTGACTAGAGAACAGAGACAACGGATACTTATTCACAGTACATTTTCAGCATGTTTCAGAATCATTATTGAATAGTAATGTCACACTGCCCCCTTTTGAATCTATTGGGTCTACGCTATACCGATTAAGGTTTAAGACTCTCAAAGAGGGGAGAAAAAGAAAATAGGGTAAACTCATGGAATTCGTATTTTCCATGTGTTCACATCACAGCTGCAATACACTGAACACAGAAGAGATGCCACAAATGAAGGAAATCTCAGGAGGCCCAACAATGACTCACATTAATGGGATCCAAAACTTTCACGGCTGCTTGACTACCATCTTTCTTATTGATGACCTTGTAGACCTTGCCATAGGTTCCTTTCCCAATTGTTTCCACAATGTCCCAATCAGAAGATGGATCTGCCAGCGACTCCGGTCCGATCATGCTTGACTTGTAGGGATACAGTCCATAGAAAGACCTCCTGAACATAACAAGTCATTTAAAGCATAGATTTAACTCCATTTCTTAACATATTTTTATATAGTTAAAAGACATATTTTAGATGAATTATGTTTCTAATGATTTACATTTACCATTTTTTAGCATTTTTTTATTTCACAATTTGAGTCATTTCAATAGGAATAGGAATCTACATGATCGGGAAATTTTTTCAAGGTGAGGCCACATTTACAGTTCTCAAATTTGTCTGGGTGAAATCCCGTTATTCCAGTAGGAACCCATGTGATCGGAATTTTTGTGAGTGCAAAAGATTCCCCGTGCAGATTTTAACATGGTGTAAGTTGGTCACGCAAATTCACTGTGCTTTTACAAAGCTTGTTTGCCCTTGAAATGCCAGTAATGTTATTTCGCCTTTATGGTGAATGTAAGAGTTCACCAGAAAAAAAAAAGTAAATTCTCTCATTATTTACTCACCCTCATGTCATTCCAAACCTGTATGATTTTATTTTTCATGGAACACAGAAGGAAAAAATGAGCAGAGTTCACAGTTAGTGTTCACTGCTATTTTCCATACAATGAAAATGAAAGTTTGACAGTGGCTGTGATGCTGCAAAAATAACACAATGGGCAATAAAAATAGACAAATTGTGTGTAATGTTTCACATCTTCTGAAGCCATTGTAGCGTCTGGACCACTCAAACACACAATATATATTTTGTTTTTATATTTAACAAATACTCTGTAATGTAGTATGTTGGACTAGTTTAAGTGTTTATGTAGTTAATAAAACCTTACTTGTGTCACACTTGACGTTGTTCATTGTTTGCTCATAACTGGAGTCCCTAATCATGCAGATTTATGCTACAAGCTCTGTGTAGAGTTGTACAGTAAGAAAGTTATTTCCCTTAACCAGGAAATTAACGTTCTTAGAATTGACAAGACAGTTGACCCTGAGAGGTCAAGTAAATATCTACAGCGGATCTAAAATATTCATAATTAATTATAACTAGTTATGATTAATTATTCATATTTCCCATGAGCTGATTCGTTACACCATACAATAGATACAGTATGTGTGAGACAAGAGCTAATTCATTAGTCGCATGATTTCTCATCTGCGGCAGGTCTCATCTCATTAACGTTCACATATATTGAAATATCACACATCATAATGTGCCACATCAGGGGTGTATTCCAGAAAGGAGGTTCAACAAACTCTGTGTTTCCAACAAAACCCACTTTCTGGAATACACCCCAGATTTGACATCTCTATACAAAACGTGTTTTGCGACTAGACCAAATGTGCTAAATTTTTGATATATGCATATTCATAATAGCACAGTAGGAAAATTTCTCTTAAGTAACATCAGAGAGATGATTTTAGCTAAGATGTTCAATCTAGTCCTCGATTTTTAGTCTGCTCCTCACATAAAGCTACTGAATGGCTTCAGAACTTTTATGGTGCTCTTTTGTCATTTTTGTAGCTTGACAGTCCCTGACACAATGAACATCCTGCCTATCATTCCTTTTGTATTTGATAGGGGGGAAATCATTGAGGTTTCGACACAACATGAAGGTATGAAAATATATGATGACAGAATTTTCATTTTTCTTTTGGCTCAATTCATCCCTCTAAATTATTTAAATTAGATTTGTATAAATATAATGTTTTGTTTTGTGTGGTCACTTCATAATTGTTATCCATTTGTGTTGTTTCATAAAATGTTATTCATAATCGTGTCCATCATAACTGACATATTTATATTTATACATAGAATTCGAAATGTGTACATTTGTAAACTGCACACTTGTAAATAACATATCTGTACATTCATTTAAACAATTACATTTTTTTCTACACTTCTACGTCTGTATATAGTGCATTATTTAACTTTCTGTTTTTCTTATATTAGTGTTATATTCCATCTCTACTGTGTTATTCCTATGCACTATCATGGGTGTTGCACTATGTCCGTACTTTCTTCTGCACTGGAAGCTCCTGTCCTCAAGTCAAATTCCTTGTGTGTGTAAACATACTTGGTAATAAAGCTCTTTCTGACTTCTGACTTCTTTCTGTTATTTCATAGTATGTTCCTACATGAAGCCTACACCTTGCAAATCTAATCAAAATGTGTCTCATTATGTCTGTATATAGTGCATTATTTAATTTTCTGTTTTTCTTATATTAGTGTTATATTCCATCTCTACTGTGTTATTCCTATGCACTATCATGGGTGTTGCACTATGTCCGTACTTTCTTCTGCACTGGAAGCTCCTGTCCTCAAGTCAAATTCCTTGTGTGTGTAAACATACTTGGTAATAAAGCTCTTTCTGACTTCTGACTTCTTTCTGTTATTTCATAGTATGTTCCTACATGAAGCCTACACCTTGCAAATCTAATCAAAATGTGTCTCATTATGTCAAACAGGCTAATGGGTTGCATCAGATCACAATCACAATTTTAACACAGGGATTTAGAAACACACACAAACTATGACAATGACTTTGACTTGATGGTTGAGAAATATCAGGTAGCATAACAAACAGCTATTTTTTCTCAAGGAAGTACAGTGAAGGGTCAGACATAATCATGCTGTCAAAGTCATGCTGCAATGCTGATATTTTGTAACAGGTGTCAGATTTTTCAATTTCTTATCAGTCTTTCAGACTTTACTATGGTCTGTATGTCTTATGTTGCATAAGAAAGTAAGTCGATGCTTACTAAAACTAATGCTTACAATGCTTACTATTTCCTAAAAGCAACATATCACATACTGTAGGGGGAAGCATATAAAACAAAAAAGGTCCTAAGATTGAGCCTTGTGGTACACCATTCTTGCTATTATTATTTTTGTTTAAAGTTTGTGTACTCACTTACACAAACACATTGGTAGTGATCTGACAGGAAGGATCTAAACACATTTATCCACAAACAAATCAAGAATATCACAAAAGACACTACGATCACAACAGTATAAGTACTTACATGGAGAACAAGACCTCTCTTTGACTTAACGGCAAACACTCAAGACCCCACTAAGAGTCTCAAAATGTACAAAATGTCATCATAGTTCTCCAGCCAGGACAAAAAAAATTATATTATTTGTAAAAGAAAAGAAAAAGGGTCTATAATTATGTTCTAAGCAAGAGAGCTGCCTGTGTCTCGTTGGCACATGGGAGTATTAGTTGATGGATTCAGATACCACTTTCCCGTCACTGCGCTCTAAGAAGTCACAATCAGCTCACCATGATTGGATTTAACAGAGATTAACTCCGTCATGTACCTCAGGACTACTACTCTCTCATTTATCATTTAGAGTCGAGATGTCCAAACTTTCCCTCCTGATTACATTCCTGAACGTAATCTACAGAGGTATGGAGAGAGATACCACAGACAGGGACCTCAATACCAGGGGACCGATGTCTGTCCTCACCGTGGGGTGATGATAAACGAGGCACAAAATGTGCTTTGATTCCCAGCTTTAGTTCAAAACAGTGGAATGGATTCAGTGCCAACATATTGACTTAAAGTGTAGCAACAAATTTAAAGCATATGTAATAACATAAATTACAAGCAAGCAGTAAAGTATGACGACAAATTAGAAAATAGTATATAGCACAGATGTGCCGATATATGCTATAGATAACAGGGGTTGGCAACATCAACATTATGGTTATCAGTAAATTAAATTATGACACCTCTTCATAATAATTTTCTCATCAATGACCATGTAATGGTGAAAATGTAATGGTATTCTGCTCATGTAATGATTCTCACCAATCTCCCACTCATCTTGTTCTCCTTAAAAGGCAAAGACTTGTAAAAACTGAAGCACCTGCACCTACACACTGCAGAAGATGGTAATACTTTTACATGCTTGCATTTCATATTCACCTTCACAAGATTTTTTTAAATAAATGATAATGGCTCTACCGAGTCTAATATATGACATGTGATGAATTTTGCCACTCACACAGACTCCTGTGGTAGGGAAGCATTTAGTTTGAGGTCACGTTGAAGTGGAAAAGGTAAATGGTGTTCTGCCCGTGGGGCTCTGAGCCTCGCACACACAGAATTATGAATAGCATGAGCGATTAGAGCGATGGATGCTTCGACTGTGCCGTGTGAGATGGATATTTCATACCTCTCATCTATTTCCTGGAAAGGTAGAGAGCACAGCTGAATTTCGACTGATGTCGTTTTTTAGGAAGAAACACGCATTTGCCACACAAGGACAACAGAACGGACTTCAAGCTTATAATAATTGAAATACTATGATTGTGTGCTATTCAATATTGAATTGAAAATGTCTTTTAAATCACAATTTAATTTACTTTTGAAATCAATTTGAATTTATAGTAAACAGGCTGCAAAATAATTAATGCATGACCTGACAATCATAATTATCATAATCATTATCAATTATGATAATCATAATCAATTTAATTTAATTTATACACCGCTTGTCAAAAGTTTGGAATAATTTGTTGGATTATTTAAGTTTTTTTGAAAGAAGTCTCTTATGCTCACCCAGACTGCATTTATTTATTGAAAAAGAAATACAATAAAAAGCAATAGTTGTGAAATATTATTACAATTTAAAAGTTTTCTCTTTTTTAAAATCTATTTTGCATATATTTTAAAATGTAATTTATTTCTGTGATGACCGTTTTCAGCAGCCATTACGCCAGTCTTCAGTGTCACATGATCTTTCAGAAATCATTCTAATATGCTGATTTGGTGCTCAATTATTATTAGTGCTCAAATATTAATAGTGGTTTTTATCATTATGAATGTTGAAAACAGATTTTGCTGCTTCAGCATATTTAGCATATTAGAATGATTTCTAAAGGAGCCATTTAAAAGAAAACAGTTCATTTAAATTTTAATAATACTTCATAATATTACTGTTTTTACTGTATTTTTGATCAAATAAATTAATGCGAAACTTCTTTCAAAAACATTAATTATTCTGAACGTTTGACTGGTAGTATAGTTTGATATTTTAGTGGAAGGTTGCTTATTTTCCAAGAATGCTACAGTTTACCCCAAAGTAAATTTAATTTCAGTATAATTCAGTTCCCAGTTCAGCATCCTGCCGAATGTTCAATTTACATCCACACTCATGAATCGAAAGAAAGACATTCATAAATTCAGAATTTTATCCAACACTGTTATATTACAACACAGCAGACAACACACTGGTGTCTAAACGAGTCTCACATTCATTAACTCCTTGAATGCTGCTTTGAAGTTTTATATAGTAAAGTTTGAGGTTTGACCAAAAAGACAGCAGTCTTCAGAAATGAGAATGTGTATGTCACTTGCTGTTTGTAAGACAGCATGGATGGTTTAATAATGCTGCCCAAATGTGTTTTGAGTCACTGAAGCATCTGTCAGTGTAGGAGTTGAATTACCTGTCGGTCTCATCTGATCTGCTCTTCTCCAGATTAACTTTCACCGTCTCTGACAGCTCCTCACATCTCCACACGGACAGACAGCCACAGCTCAAGAGTGAAAAATTTAAGGGGGTCTGAATACTTTCCGTACCCACTGTATACTTCAGATCATTCAATTACGGAGTAGCACTCAACACTTATATCTCAAATCGCAAGTTGTAACTTTTAAAGACTAAAGAAAAATCAAATCCATCAGCAGATCTTTTTTTATATTAATATTATTCGCCACTGCAGCCTTAACAAGTGCACAATCATGCAAAACTTTGTTACATAACCATAACTATAACTCTCCCCTCAGATACCATACTTAAATCCAGTACAAAAGATCAGCAACATGAATATCATAAACCAAACAGGGTTTCTCTTCAGATTCAAAAGTGCAGGAAAAAAGTTTTAATGATAGCTTGATAATATATTTAAGTGGTTTAATTAGGAATAACAAATATGCAAATACATCTGGAAAAAATAAAAATAACAAAGAACATACCTCAGTTTGATAGACCTCCCTAACAAGTTGCTGAATGTATGTGAGGGTTTGTCAATGCTACAAGCCTAAATCATTCTAATCAGACTCTCTGAATTATTCATTAGGTTGTAATGTGTAATATGATCTTGTTTTAAATATTCATTAGACAGATGGAACTAGTCATAAAAGAGCTTTATATGGAAGACATGCAGTTATACAAACACTAACATGCGCACACACACAGGTAAGGAGGAGGGAATTGTTTATGAATTGTGTCGGTCATGTGACTCGAACAACTCCCATAATATTTTGATATGCAGAAGCACTTACATTCACAGATTATGTGCTCACAGGTAACAGGTGATGACTTCTGGAGTCCAGTATTACCTGATTATTTTAATATAGAAGGATTGTTACTAACTATTATGAGCTGAATGCCATAAACTATGAGACAGAATAGATAACCTATACATCTTTCAATATAAAGCTCCCTCAAACAGGTTCAGAAATATCCCTCGTGCATGGTCACAGAAAACACAAACATAAATGTGTTAGAAAGATGTGTTAGTAAAAATGCAAGCTCTTTGTGTGTTAGCCTGAGGTGGTAATGCTACGACACGGCGTCTCTGCAGTTATAAACAGAGGCTGTGTTGCTATGGCTCATATTCTCATGGGAACGAACAGGAGACCAGTGAAGCAGGACCTGAGTGAAAACAACAGCCAAGTACAATAGCTGAGTGAACGCTGCCTCTCATTCTCTGCTAGTGCACGTGTCAGTCTAACATCTGTCCAAATACACACAGATTATATTCTGTATTCACAATGCACAGCCTAAACAGTCAATGTACTATAAAGTATAAAGCCTACACTGTAGAAAATGATTGTGATTTTAACAGTAAAAGACTGTAAAAATGCAACAGTAAAAACCTGTTAACTGGTTAACAGTAAGTTTCCATACTATATTCGGTGAATAAATGTAATCACATTTAATGTAATTTTACAGTAAAATACTGTTAAAAAAACGGTTTTTGGAAGTGAAAAAGAAAAAGTCATTGTAAAATTTATGGTGAAAGACCGTAAATTGACACTCCCAGAATTCCCTGCATGACACTTCATATTTGATGTTTTTTTGTTGAAATAACATGTTTCTTCTAAGTTTTTTATTATCAGTTGTGTACATTACACTCTAAAAAATGCTGGGTTGTTTCAACCCAACGTTG